ACCTATGTTTTCCCTAAGAGCAGAGGTTGTGTTTATCCTGAATCAAAATCCTGTTCCTTCATTGAAGCTTGACATTTCATGTAAAATATGCAAAACCTTAGGATGACTATGTTAATGGCTGTGTCACTGAATACAATCTACATCTGCTCCTTCTGGGTTATTCTGGTCAGTAACCACTTTTCTGGCTCTGGGGTTGAGGACAAAGCAGGTTCTTTTCCCTCTAGATCCCTACACAGTAACGCAGATTCAGAGTTTCCGTGCTGCCCTTTGTTCACCCTAGACCCAGCAGGGAAGACAGAGTGGGGGAATCTACTGGTGAAAGAATTTCTCATACCCCAAGAGTGCGGTAGGGGGTGTTGTCCTCCAGCCCTGAGACCTGAGACTGCTGGGTTTGGCACACCTTTAAGAGAGATTTCTGTGCAGACAAGGCCTGGCAGTCCAGTCCCATCAAGAGTAATGAGGTGTGGCTGCATAGCGGGAGAACCGCCAGACATTCACGTCAGGGTCTTCTTGGGTAAAGATAATCAACCAGTAAAATTAAAAAAAAAAAAAAACATAGCTAAAAGCCAATTGCCCACTTATTTTTCAAAATAGACACAGCACCTGATTTCATGTTGCCTTATTATAATCAGGTTGCGCAAGTCAGCTTTATATCCAGAGTCTACATGCTTCACCTACATTAAAGGACAGTCTGGTGGCTGAGGGAGAAAAAAATTATTTACAATGTAACATTTGCCTGGAAGGTCCTAGTCCTCACAATGAGAATTATTACAGGGATTCCTTACTAAAACACTCTATAACTTACTACCATACCCAGCAAAGTGCTACACATTAATGCTAAAGAAGAATAGAAACAAACTTGCAGTAAAAATGTGCACAATGTCCTAGAACCTCACTGTTCTGAGATGGGTTTTTCCAGGCTTCACTAAGGTCTGGATGAATTTATTTTAAATACCATCAATGTCTACCTTTAATTCCACACTCACAGGAAGCCTTCAAAACCACTACACAGCACCTCAGATAAACCGACAAGAAGAGGAAAGGGCACCAGTTGGCAAACCTAAGCACTTTGGTACCTGAAAGGTTTATCCCTCATTACGTACGAATTAAGTACCACTTGGGGGCTTGCATCAGTTTGGTTTACAAGGCCTAGTGCTAGAAAGCCTCATCATTTCTTGGCATAATAAAACACAAAGCCAAGGATTGGGGGTGGGGGTGGGGGTGG